CGTCATTTATTTCCAATTTTCTCTTTATTTTTTCTTAAAATTATATGATCCGTCCTTTGTCATTAATTGCTATATGCAATTAATGTTTACAACCCGTAAAATCTGATATTTTCTAAAAGCACCCGTAAAATCTAGTATTATTTTACTTTTAAAACTCATATGTATTTATAATAATGCTACCTCGTATTTTAATAACATAACAGAAATATATCACACCAACAAATAACCAATCCTAATAGAAAAAAATTGTAACAAAAACACTTTAGGAGCTTATTGCAGCTCAGATATTTAATTGTAGAGAAATGACTAGAATTAAAACATTACTCCATCATTTACATTTTCTTCTACCATATTATCATTTTTCTAGAGTGTATGTTCTAAAAGTACTTTTGGGATATGTTCGCATCATTCTTTCCATATGAAAAAACACTCATCTAGCGTCAACCAAATAAGTTATCGACGACGAATATATCATGCTGCATCTTCTCCGAAAAAGCACATTAGCTTAGAGAGACCTACTGAACAATTAGTAATCTAAGGTTGAAAAACGGCATGGATTAAAAAGTTTCTTTTAATTTGTTGTTATTATAGTGTTTTTTTTTCTAGTCTTTTTTAGTTCTTTTAGTGTTCGTTGAATTAGTTGCGATAAGGATTCTATAATTAATCGTGCATTGGCGTGGCCATATATTAATTCTTCACCGATTTTCTTTTGTGGCCAATGTAAACTCTCTCTCATTATTATACTAATCTCTTTACCATCTTATACATTTTTATTTAATTTAATTAAGATGAATGAATGGTTATAAATAAGAATATATTAATGTATCGTGAAGGAACGCAGCTTGGCTAAGTGCCTGTTGTTATCGACCCCACAAGTTGACTGATCGTGTTCATCATCATGCATGGCTTCATTTGATTTATTTAATCACGACACAAATGATTGCAACAGTTTAAGAATCTCTTGATTTCTCTCTTCATCATCATCACCAAATCTTCCTCAAGAGATATATTCTCTTCACCAAGTATCTCTAACCTCTATATATACATAGTTGTG